GGGGGGGAGGGGTGTCTGAATACCGGGTCTGGTCTACTTACCGTCCTTCGGTCTATCAACCATCTAAGCCATCCAAGCACGTGCGTCACTGGCAGTGCGCATTTTACAGGCCAATTTTATTGGCTGGCCGAGAGGCTTTGACTCATTTAAGGCATCTGCCCTCTTCTCCACTCAGGCGCCATAATACACAGGTTACAAAAGTGCTTTCGCGGGAGAAGAGAGAGTTGGCTTAAAGCCAAACCATGTAAATTAATGCTATGCTGCTATCTTCTTCGGATCAACGTACTAAAATGCTATTGTGACGCTTTTATTGAATATCGACTAATTGGAAATTGTTATGAGTGCAGTCGTTTTTGTTCTCTAATTATTTAAAGCATCTATATTTTGTGTATTAAGAGGGGTTCCAGAGTTCCATCTCTACTCAAGATACATGCTTGAGTCTGATATAATTCTGAGAGAGGTCATACAGAGCAATCTATAGAAGCACGCCAGGAGCCAGCCCGATTTATTTACTAAAAGTTAAGAGAGCAGTGTCTCTCATACACTCTCAACGGTGATTTCACTTGAGTAAAGCCTGTGATGAAACGACAGGATTGATTGATGCCTCTCCATTGATGATCCAGGCATTGACGTTATCATCCGTCTGGGTCTGATGTGATATCTAGCGCAATAGCCATTCGCACTGGTTAACTTTACCTAATGCGTCAGTTGCAGATTTCGACTTTCACCTGAGCCGGTCCTTCATGCATATACGACGTAATTTTTATTAATTGTGAATGCTATCTGAAGTAAGGACTAGCAAAAAGGAAAGCGCATTCATTTTGGAAGACTTCCTTCTTTTATTCAGACGCCGAAGTGAAAATGGATGAAATGGGGCGTTAGAGTACCTTTGGCTTGCGGCCAAACTTCCCTGCTATTTGTTAAACTCCACTTCCACTAATGTCTGCCTCACTTCATTCAGGAAGAAAAGGCTAGCTGATTAGTTTGTCGACTTTGCTCTCCTTTTTCCTTTACGTGCAAATAATTAGCGTTTTCTTTCAGGTTCTATTTGATATGGTACAGTAAATCCATCGACTCTTGTTAATATTATGCGTTGTTATTGTCATATAGACGTTATTATGAATTGATGGAGGCCAAATGGAAATACCGATGAATGCCTTAACTATTTTCGAAGCACTCTTTTTATAGGATTATTGCTCGTCTGAACGCAGTCAATAATAATTGCATTAAATCGTAGATCTTTACCCTCTTGATGATGCAGATCAGTTTAGTCGTTTGTTTTTTTTCCGCGGATTAATTGTATTCTAATCCACACCTTCCCAGTGACTTTGAGATTGCCTTATACCCATTGACATTGCGAATATCCTTTTGGGTTTGCCCATTTCTTTAGCCTCTAAAGAGTTTCCGTTGGGGGGATAATGTTGATTTCCTTTTGGTTAGCTACCAACAACCTGAATTAGAAGAGTTATGCTTCAGCGACGAATTTGCGCAAACGCTCGCCTAGTTTACAGACATCCACGTAATAAGCTTTTCATTTTCACATGGTCGCGCCTTCCTCTCATCTCCATCATTGCTTGACGGACAGTTTTTTGCTGTTTTCATGAGTGATTGGTTTCAATATTATTACCTATTGGAAGAAGTTGTGCTAACATTACCCTTTTCATTGAATAAGATATTTATTTAACGAATGCAGATTTTTGTGCTTATTATAATATTTATAACAAATGGCAGACGACCAATTACTCAATATTATTTATTTATTTATATCAAATGGCAGGAGTTTTGATAGTTATCATTAGCCCTTTAGTTGACTTCAAGCTTCACAAAGGGGAGGAGGAACATCCAAGTGAGAAGAATTCGGGAGGGGGGATAGAAAAGTGGTTCACAGATGTAAAAGGAACAGAAAGACACATAGGCTCAGAAAGAGTAAGATGAGTACTGCGATTGGGGTCGAATATGACATACAGTGGGGTGATGGTAGTTTGAAGTCAGAAGTCAACTGCCGGTCGATAGATTTTTTTGACGTATGAGTATACGTTGCCCAGGGTGCACCACGTGGAGGTAAGTCTGTCGCACACCCCACTTATTTTAATTTTAAATATGGCGTTAAATGTCAACTTTTGCACACAAACAGATGAACATTGTTCTCTACTGCCTTGTTATTGAAAGGACAAGAAATTGGCTGATTAGGGTGATCGTAAGCGGTCTATAAAAGAAGAATCAAATTTGTGCAAAGAAAGCATGTAGAAAGTCATTTTATTTCCTGGCAGATCTCTTCTCATATTGCGTGGAACGTATAAAAATGATCAAGTAAATTTCACTTCAAGCGTACAATATTTACTATTGACGGAGCACTTAAATGAAAATGCGTGGTTTCGGTTCTTATCAGTGAAGATTTCTTTTGACCTCGGGTAGTGGTCTGTGTACTGCATCTATTCAATATTTGAAATCCACTAGAGCTTAACCTTTAAAATGAACAATCGGAATTGATGAGGAGTTTTCTAAGAATGAGAATTTACTTTCTTTACCTTATAACTCCGAGGAGTTCATTCATTTTAAAGAAATTGGCAAAAGGCAGTGTGTATTTTGCCTTCCATAATTTTGAAATTCGGTTTAGTGTTTCCTCCATTTTTTTTTCTACCTTGCTAATAAAATTGACCTACATTTCATCTTCTCCGTGATATGGCAATTTAGTCCAATTCTTTATCTTCAAGCCTTATTCACATGGCTTGTGTTCGAATGCCAATTCTCTCATGCGTGATTTACTCATTCGAGGATCATGTAGATAATTTCCTCTTGACCTCAATTTCACACCACCTGTCCCTTATAAAGCCTTACTATCTTCTGGGATTGGAATTGGAAAAGGATATCAACATCTCTCACTTAAGCTTATTATCCTTTTATAGATTGCAAGCGGAATGAGTTATCTCGAGTCAGCAGGATTTGTCCATCGTGATCTCGCTTGCCGAAATGTCCTCCTAGCTTCCCAATCCTGTGCAAAAATATCCGATTTTGGTCTCTCAAGGGCAGTTGGTGTCGAATCGGATTACTATAAGGCGACTCAGCGAGGTAAATGGCCAGTCAAATGGTACGCCCCCGAATCTATATACTACAAAACCTTCAGCACCGCTTCTGACGTTTGGTCTTTCGGGGTGTGCTTGTGGGAAATGTTCTCTCTGGGTGAACATCCTTATGCTGATCAGGACAGTTTTGAAGTACTTCGACAACTAGAGGAAGGTGTGCGTTTACCACGACCTCGGTTAGCGTCCGACGAGGTGTATGGAGTGATGCTGGACTGTTGGGCATATGCTCCTGAGGCGCGACCGAAATTCTCCCATCTCCTCGCCATATTCCGACATTTGGCGACGAATGTCTACGAAAATGTGGCGGCGCCATCTCAGAATACAGCTGCCGCGCAGCTGAAGACGAATGGATCTGCGGCGGTAGCGATGGAGACAAATGCAGGAGGTGGAGCCCAAAACTGAACACGCACAATTGGTTTGACAATCGAGTGTTACCTCCCTCCCTCCCTTTTCTCTTACTCTGAAACACCTCTTTCCCCTATTTTGGTGACGCATCGTTGTATCTATGTACTACTTTTCCTTCCGACTCAACAGACACACCAACAATCCTACCTTATTACTCTCCTCCCCTTCTCTTCCTAGTCTCCTTTTAATGACGATGAAAGTAATGGTAAAACATGCTCATAGTACATCATTAAATTTCTTATCTGCTAACCTATTGATCTTGCCTTACTTTTTTCATTTCATCTCTTTATAATTTTAGTCGATTTACCTGAGAAATAGAAATTACTGGGGACTCCAACAAATGCCAAATTATCACTATCATTTGGTCGTGGATATTTTCGTGTTATAGGCGAAATCCACTATGTAAGATCTGATTATGTATCCTTGCGATTTTTCTAGATTCTTCTACTTCAATTTCAATTAAATATGATTAGCCATATCACTTGACATCCCAGAGATTGTCAATTATGTAATTTTGGCAATATGTGACAATGGATCCGTTCAAAATAATAGACTAACAGGAAAGTACAAGGCTCCATCTTCATTGAATTTTTTGGTACTAATTAGATGGGCATGGGACTCAAGCATATTTAATAAATCTACGATGAGCATCTTCTAAAGTGGATAAGTGGTTTAAGCTACACTCCTAGTTTCGATGTCCATTCAATCGAGCGCATATCGCTTAAAAATACAAGAGTAAGGCGAACAAAGTGTGAAGATCTAAGATTTTCAACATATGAAAAGTTGCTTTGAACGGCAAAAAATACGCTTTATTATAAAAATAGTTTACAAAAACTTGAAGATTCATAGTAGATTTCAGTTATCCATTGCCTCTAAATGTTCTCGCGCATCAGCAAAAGCGGCACATAGAGCTCCTAGTTGGAGTTTTTCTGAAGCGCCATAGGACATTCGGTACTCCACTTCAGAGAGCATCGTTACCAAACCTATCTTAATACTATCTGGCATTTTCACTAGAAGGGACAAAAAATATTTTGAGCAAGTGGAATGAAAATAATAAATAAGACAGAAATATTCCAATTTACAACGCATGATAAGGGGACTCAGTTCGGAGACAATATCCTGTAATGCTATACCCTTTTCCATTTTGATTTCGGAGATTTCTAAAAAGAGCATAAAGAAACGTTTAAAAAAACAGATTCTTTATAATCAATCTACCTTTTTAGGCATAGTATGCCAATCTTCAAGTAGATACCATCGACTAAGCTTGGTGGACAGCACTCGAATTCACATATAGGTATTAATTATACATTAAATTGATAAATTTAAGCGATTTCTCCAACCATTTATGTACTATTATATTATTATTATTATTATCATCAATTCCAACAAAGCTTTTGGCAGTGGTCAACGCGCAAGTTTGACATGTTAAAGGTTACGAAATCAATATTTGCCTAGCACCGTTAATGACTAACCACATTAATTAGATCTAGATAGCGGTAGATAGATGCAGGCTCTTTTGACAACAATGTTAGATGCTTGTGAACCTCAGAGAAGATAAGACTGTCTAAAGGAGAATTATAATGTAGGTTAGATTCAAAGAAAACATACTCTTGAAAGCCTCAGTAAGAGAGTCATTTAGACAGGATTCAAGAAGCCTCTTCATTTCACTTGGATTCGGGTAACCTGTACAGGCATAAACACCAGCCTCATCAACAACACTGCAGGACATCGAAGCGCTCTGAAGCAAGTTGATAGCAATACGCATGTCACCTGAAGAAAAACGATGGATAGCCACCTTGCCATCTTCAGTAAGCTGAACTCTAGTTAAACGAAAAGAAAGCCATCAGTAAAGGAAAAATTATACCTCTCATTCTCTGCTATTTCGCCAAGTCGTTTAAACATGTGGGCTTTTGGGACTGGGGGGAAACGGAATCGAGTGCATCTGGATTGAATTGCGGGGGTTATTTTCGAGAGATAGTTGCAGATAAGGCAGAAACGCGTGTTCTCGGAGAATTTTTCAATAACTAAAATCTTCTAATGAGTAAGCGAATGAATTTAAAACCTCTTCTCAAAGCATTTTGTGCGTCTTTAGTCATAGCATCTGCTTCGTCCAAAATAATAAGCTTAAATTTTCCACTAAATTTAGGCGAGCAAATATTGCAAAAGGAGGCCTTACGAAAATAAAGTCTTTGTACTTGCAAATGTTAAAACTTGCTCACGAATTACGCCAATTCCCCGATCATCTGAGGCATTCAATTCCAAAACCATCGAAGAAAATTCCTTCGGACTGAATAGCTGCTTCGCAACAGCAAGAATAGTACTTGTTTTACCAGTTCCGGGTGGACCATAGAACAAGAAATGTGGTAATTTTCCTTGATCCAGAAATCTTCGAACTAAAGAATAATACTTTGACTAATGAAATTTACTTGTCTTCACGATTTCTTCATGGCTCATCAATTCACTGAGCGACTCTGGGCGATATTTTTCAATCCTATCAAATATTAGAACAAAAATAAAGCATACCAAGGCAAATCCGAGGTCATAATATATTTGTGAATCGCGGAAAAAACTGGCCAATGACATTCAAATTTAGATTCCGTCAACCTTACTTACTAGTCAACTCAAGATAAGGGCAAGTAAAAACGGTGAAGATAGTAATTTAAATGATTTGATTAGTCAGTAAAAATGGGATTGTATTTTTTTCAATTTCCAATCCTGGAAATAAGAAACTTTCCATGTAACTATTATTTGAGAATTTAATATAATTTGGAAATGGAGATTAGCTCAATTTTATCTTAATCATTGTAAACTTTTTGTTTTGATATAACTATTTACGATAAAAGAAATTTACGATTCTAAGTCAAAGTTGCAATGGATAAAACGAAATTCTTAGTAAGAGCAAATCTAGCAATAACGCAAGATTTTAATAAATACCGTGTCTAAGTTTTCCCGATTAACAAGGAAATCAAAGAAAAATTATATTTTCAGTGCTTTCCATGAAATACAAAAATATTGGAAACTAAGTACGAATGCTCCAACGTACCATTAGAGAATTTTTAAAGAAGTTTGTTCGATTTAACTTAGATCCTCGTTTGACTTGGATTTTTTGGTTAAATTTTATAAAAGGACTATTCAAATTAAAGCAACAGGTTTATTACGGTATTTCACGTTAAATTCAGTAATAACAGCAGTTAAAAAATAGTGAAACACTACTACGGACCCGATAAATTTGTTAATATCAACACTTTGGGTTTTCAGATGACATCACATTTATTAAAGCATTTTTTCTCAATTCAATTAATTAAATAATATTTTAAAGCAAATTGTTATGAAGAGATTTGAATAATTTAAAAATTGAGCGATCCACGTATCAACTGCATGTGTAATTAAACGAGCACATAGTTAATTATCAGATAGAACCTGGTATAAGACAGCTAGTAATTCATTTTTAATAATATAAAAATACAATTGTGGGGATGGGTGTAAATAGGTCTATTCCGTTCCGAAGCTCTTTACTTGGAATGCTAGGATTTTAGCACTTATACTAGGCTTACTAGTTCATGGCAATTTTGAATATGTCTAGTATTGCTCTCCTGGTTTCATTTGAGAACTAGTTTTCCATTATATATTGTGCAAGGTGTATATTTGTCATATATTGTTATCTTTGATCCAGAAGAAATGAACTCTGTTAATAAGATTTTACCTGATTATGCCGACGATAAGTTAAATGACGATGATTCTCAATGTGATTCAGCTATCGGTATTAAACCTTGTTTATGTTTTATCTGCTATACCTAGGTCTTGTTGGTCTGCGAAACATTGGAAACACGTGTTTTATGAATTCAGCTCTACAGATTGTTTTGAATGTGTATGTTAATATATGCTAATTTGCATTATCTAGATCTCCTTTCACTCGTCTATTTAATGCCCGAGCACAAACGTGGTCTCAACAGTCCCAGATGCCGTTGTCAAAAGCATATTTGCAGCTTCTTAACGATATGGGTCATCTAGATGTCCAAGTTGGCGCCCCCATACGACGCAATGCTGCTACACCAGGGCGTATTTTGGATGTAATGCGTATCGCTCATCCCATATATCGCGGTTTTTATCAACATGATTCACAGGAATTTTTGCGCACTTTTTTGGGTGATCTCCATGAGGAGCTAAAGTTAACCCCCTTCAATGAATCTAAATATCCATCTTCAGCTCCAGGTATTTCTACTGTCTCTGATTTTCTTGTTACTTAATATGGCTGCTATCTTTATCTATTTTTTTAGTGAGTATTCGCATAGTGTTTGCATGCTGTCATTTGAATTTCTTTTTTTCTTTCAGCCGTGAATGGAGTTAAGTCTGAGAATGGTAGTGGGGATGTAAACTATAATGACAAAATGCTTTGGAAGAATAAGCGTGGAAGAAATCGGAAGTCAAAAGAGCTGAATCCGCAAAGCCCAAAGACGGAACCCGCTAAACCACTTCCACTATCATCTAGTGCTGTGAAAGATGTCTTTCAGGGTTGTACTGTCACTTGCGTTAAATGTCTTTCTTGTGAAAAGGTAAATTACTTTGAATTTTCGTCTTACTAAAAATAATTCTTTAATTTTTAAAGTTCACGTTAATCTCAATAGCTAAACGAACTTTTCTATTATTTAAATTCTTTGTGTTTTCCACTACTTCATTTCACTTGAAGTGATGATTTTTCGATGTTCATCATAGGTTTTTCACCGAAATGAAGTGTTTCTCGACCTTTCTCTTCCCATATCCCTTCCTCATTCAAAGCCGAAGATTACAGAACTTACTGGAACTCCTCATGCTCAGTTTCCTTCTACTTCGACTTCTCCTCGGTTGTCGTCTGCAATCATAAACACTAATTCTACCTCCTCAAACTCCCTTTCAAACAACAGCAAGAGTCTTTTTAGGCAATCGGTGGACACCTCAATGGGACTTTTTTACTGGGCATCTCTTTATCTCGTTTGGATGCTAACTTGGATTAAGAGTGTGCCTCCGATCTCCTATCTCACCTATTATCTGGTCTCCGCTCTCATGTGGCTCAAAAGGTCCGCCATTACTTGGGATTATTCCTTATCTGGAGTTGACAAAAAGTGTGTCGCTTACTTTTCCCTTATTTATTTAATCAGTTAGCAGTTCTTAGAGTAGGCACACAATTTCTAAGTGCAGTTTTATTGTTTGGTTCGGTTTGGCTTCTTCTAAGTTATCTTCATTTTACCTTTATGCGTGTGAGCGTTTACTTAGAACTAGGTCTTGTAAGGCATTTAAGATGTTTTTGTGATTTATTTTTGTTTGCCATGGAATGTCAACTGATTCTTTGTTCCTTATCTAGTATGGCTTGGGAAAAGAATATTGAACTAGAAGACTGTTTGGACACATTTTTTGATGTCAGTGAACTCTCTGGTGAAAATATGTACTACTGTGGGAACTGCTCGAAGTAAGAGATCGACACTTCTTTTACTCCTTAAAATTGGTGTATTTTTTCAGCCTTTTAACATTTTTTTTCTCTTATTTTTCAGGTATACGAATGGAAGGATGCATCTGGAGATAACTAAACTACCTGAGATTCTATGTCTACATCTGAAACGCTTCCGACTTGACTTCAATACGTCAAAAATTTACTCCCGAGTTAATTTCCCTCTTCATGGATTGAGTTTGAAAAAATATCTACATACATCGTGCAAAGATAAAGTAAGTAAATTCTATTTTTGCGATGTTGGGTGTAGTACACAAAATTTAGTATCAAATGGAATTTATTCTCTTTTTTTCTAGTCTTATTTGCTCATTAAGGAGTATCGTTTTAGGTGCATGCAGCAGGGATTTTAACTATTTTCCTTTACTGCCAATCATTGAATTTGTTGGCGTTCACTCTTATGAGTGGTTGTTTTTATACTAATCACCTGTGGAGTTGTTAACATTTTTTAGTTCGCTGTGAGCGATTTTCTCCTCAAACCTATTTAACTGTATAATTTGACTGTAAAGAGGCGCGTTATAATCCAATTTTAATTAAGAAAGTATTGAGTGTGTGGAGCTGTGAGTGGCGCAGGGGTTTTTTCCTAATCCGATTTGTTGTCTCTTACATGAATGGTAATAATGGATGAGTTTTTATTTTATTGTGTTATGGATTTATCATGCCACTATATTGCCTAATGGAAAATATCTCAGTCCTGCCCAGACGTCTCCTACTTGACTTTATTAACTTCTGTTAGTATGGTACTTTGGGTGCATTATGCATAGGTCATCTTGCGTCCTAAATTTCACTATTCGATACCATTATCTAAGGACGTTTCGTAATCACAGAAGATTAGACAATCTCATCGTTAATGTCTTGATCGGCGAAGCAAAATAGTGATAACCGCATCTTTTCCACGCGCTATTCGCCTATGCTAACAGACTATTTCAATTCTGAAACCCAATTTTTGCAGTAGCATGCGAATAGTTCTAGCTAAAATGTTGATGGATTGCTGGTTAAATTCGGTTAAACTATTTTCAAATTTGGTTGCTGTCGCTAAGGTAATTGAAATACCGGTAATCTGTTCTTGTTGCTTTTACTGGCATATCTGAGCTGTTTTAGTAGTTATTTACGTTTATGGTTGTTTTAAACTAGCAACTACTACTTACACTTGGCATAAGAGTGGAGATTTCTATCTTTATTTTTCTTCATGTGAATAGGTTTGGGAGTACGACTTGTCTGGAGTTGTATGCCATACTGGTAACATGAGATTTGGCCACTACTTCACTTATGCTCTCAACAATGGTGATGGTGAGTGGTATGAATTCAATGACTCGGTAGTCAGTCATGTTGATGCTGACACCATCTCTTCGCTCACTTCAGAGGCCTATCTCCTTGTCTATCGGTGAGTTGGCTATTTTTTTCATGAATCACATTTTTTGTTTGTTTGTGTGTTCCTAAATAGTTCGATGAAATTGAAGTGGTTATTGATTGATTGCACAATGGCATATGATCATTTAAACTTCTCATCAGAGAGTATTCTATGGTGCTTCTATTCTGCTCCAAATTAAGGTGTGCAAGATCTGCATTTAGTGGGGTTCGCTTAATTATTTGATCATTACCTTGTAACATAATCAGTCCACAGGAGTAGCTTTTTCTGTAGAATTGTATATTATTCAGCAGTATTCCTTGGAATATGCAATTGACGAATTGAATACAATTTACCTTAAACTTATAATTTCCTTAATCCTTCTCTTTTTTTGATCCATATCTACTCGGGCTCCAGGGGTATGAAGAAATAGGTCTTGTAGCTCAAACAATTATTTAGCGGGGGGGGGGGGGGGGAGGGAGAGTATGAGGAGGAGGGAATAAATGGGGTTATATAGAGGTGGATGTCGGCTAAATGACTGTTTGACTTGTTGACCAGTAATGGCAGCTACACCACCTTCACAGGTGGTCTTATTTATCCTAATTTGATTTTGAAAGTCTACATATCGATGGTTTAGCACATGAGGGATCACCTTACGAGTTCACTGTGTGCAAGTCTAGTGTACTAGATTGGATGTACTTGAAATACTCTATTCGTCCCCCCCCCCTCCCCTCCCCTCCTAACGATAACCGATCTTATAAACGGACTGCATCTAATATCACAGGGATATAAGTATCGGATGCAATAGCTACCATCCTTTGAAATAGCCTCATCTTACCCTCTTCGCATCCTTGAGGCGATCTTCAATGGCTGCTTTGATCGAACAGGGCGTCTAATTTACTATCAGTCACAAATAGGGTAATAAATGAGTTTAACTCATCCTTATGGAATGCCTGCCTTATTTGGATCAGTGGAGAAGGTGGGACTGTTTATGCTTTTTATGTCAACGTAAATGGCATAGGCTTACCATTCAAATCTCATTCCCTCTTGGCATGCGTTATAGGTTAGTATGTTAACATGCAAAATAGTGAGAGGCTGTCAAGTATTCTACATTACCTAAAATCTGTATTTATTAAATGAGTTGATTATTTGTAGGATAATTAATTGACTTCATCATATCCAAATGTTCCAAAGTTCCGAGTTTATTATTTGACTGCTGTGCTTCTTGATGAGTTAGTGTCTGTGCTGTTCTGAGCTTGTTGACCATTTGATGTTATTATTATTTTATGGTCTCAGACCACTTTCTAGTTCTTTATACTTTTCGTCATGAACAGGTAACACATAACAGAGCTCAGTAGAGTTCATCTCGTGTAAAGCCTCTACTATAATCTTAATGGAATTGTATTCAAAGTATCACCAGGGAATTCTTGGATAATACTCACAAGATTATAGTGAATATGACAACATCATATCGCACTCACATGCATTGGTATGAGCTAAAGTTTGAAATCTGGCGAGAGATGTGGCTATTGCGAACTGCACAAATTGTACTAACATCCAATTAGTCGTTCATATATTAAATTAAACAGTACGAGTCTCGCTTTTTTAGCATTGGTGTATCTAGTATTTTCAAAATAATCAAATTTGGTATTCTGATCGCGGGGTTTTACCACTAGTGGGGCATGTTTATTTGGGGCAATCTATAACATAGCAATTTTGAAAACGCAGTGTTGAAGTTGAATCAGTGAAATTCCTAATATCGGTGACAAACTTACTCATTAACTCTACTATGCTTATCTAGTTTATTCTTTCATTTTTTTAGAAAACGTCAGGACTATATCCGACCCATTCGCGATCAGTTTTCAATAAAAGTGAGTTGACTTTGCAATTTGGCACAATCTTCTTGAAGCAATACTAGTCAAGCTGATTTGTCTGGCTTCTTTAAGGAATCCCAGCAGGTTGCCTATATCAGCATTCACTGGCTCCTTCGGTTCTCGGAATTCGCCGATCCCGGTCCAATCACTAATTCAGATTTCCTTTGTAATCATGGAGCTTTACAGCCTCTTCTTGCAGCAGATCGGGATAAGTATTATACAGTAGTACCTTATGAAATGTGGAACTACCTCTACTCCCAGTAAGTTGTCTTCACATTTAGAATTTGTACTGATATCATATAAGTAGCCATAAAATGTTTTAATTTTTGTCTTTGAACAGCTTTGGTGGTGGACCATACGTTGACGATTTGCGCCCTTGTGATGTTTGTCAAGAGAAGTTGAATCTTCTAGAAGCTCGCCGTAAGCAAGAGTTTGATGCTTTCAATGAAAGTCCAGCTAACTCAGAGTACATGTATGTCATTAGTCGAGAATGGTTTAAATCCTGGGCCAACTTTGTTTGTGGCCACGAAGTTGGTGAGTTTTTTGTTTCATTGTTTGCTTATGTTAATTCCTCTTTATGTTAGGCTTTAGTCCCATTACATTAATTAGTTTCAGGGCTTACATAAATGGTTTTCAAGTTAGACGTCATTGTCTCTTGTTCCTTACTATCTTAACTATCTACTTTTCTTTCTTTGTTCATTTCTAAACTTTGTATCAGCAGTGTTGTAACAGGGGTGAGTGTAGGCACTAACTATTCTAGCAATAATATCTTATGTTGGACAAAGGCCAATACATTGAGTGCAAAATTGGGGCATGGTTGGTACATTGCCCATGGGTAAGAGAGCACAACACTTCATCAATCGACGAAATTTGGCATGATGGATGAAGAACTATGGGCGAAATCCAAGTTCAGAATAAAAATTCTGGAGCATCATACCTCAAAAATTTTCTGGGCTGTCCTCATAGAGACGGATTACTAATGCTTGGTGACTTTCACACATGCTTGTGTTGCCATCCTTTTGGTAAAAGTAAGTAGGGGTGATATTTCCCTAGCATTCATATGATTCTTTGGCATTGTTAATGCTATCCATAACGTGACAATTCTGATCATGATGTATAATAAAGTATTTGGTTTATGGGGAGTAGATCGAATTGAAGTTATGAATGAAATCTTACTTCATTTAATTTTCGAACCACCTTTTTTGGGCTTTGACTAAATGGGCATTGTTCACAGTTGTGTGCTCTAATGATCAAAATGTTTAGGTAACAATGTCTTGTCGAACAATTAATCAATTTTTTGGCCTCTCACTTTGGCACATTCTTTCTTATAAAGACAAAAGGGCAAGTAGTGTTTATACGCAGTAGAACTACAAATTAACATACTGGTATTGGTTTTCATTTAGTAAACTGATAAATTTGTTTAGTTGTTTCCCATTTTTCAGTTCACTCAAATGAAATTCTGAACATTTTTAATAAAATGTCTATTTTCTTATTTCCACAACGATCTTGATAGTTACTCTCATGGTGTTCTCGCATTTACCATGTTCTTTTCCATTTGCAGAACCTCCAGGCCCCATTAACAATTCCAGAATTCTCGAGTCATTTGGATCCCTTCCCGGCAATTATAAAATTCGAATGCCCCAGGCTTCTGATCAAATTGATTGGGTTTCTCAAAGTCAATGGAATTTCCTCTTTTCTACATACGGAGGTGGTCCAGAACATGCAGTCAGAAACTGTGACTTCGTGGAAAAGAACGTGACTGATGAAGCGGAGGCGATTGAAAAGAATGATAAACCAGAGTTTATGGATGTAGAGAATGGAGGTAATTTTGGGTCAGGCTGTGCAGAGGAAATTGACAAGGGAGAGATGGAGCTTTTCGAAAATGGAATTGGAAAGGTGGCACCAAATTCTTTGGAGCTAGCCATTGACGAAGAGGAGTCCAATAAATCCCCTAACGAAGATGTTATTACCTTATCATCTCACTTAGAGACACATGCATTGAATGAGGTGGGTTTTATTGTAATAGTCAAATTGTTCACCGATTATTGCTTTCTTTCAGCTTCTAAATTAATTTTATTGGGTGGAGCGGCTTTGTTTCTCAGACCTTTTAGGTTTTCTGATCTTCAATCTTGGCAATTTTGAAGAGGCCACTTTTTTCTATATGTCGGGATGAGTTAGAGATTGGGAGTGTTTTGTTTTCAAAAAATAGCGAGCAGTAGTCATCCAGGCCTCTATCTAACCTTATCGGCGACCGGTATATTTTTTGTTAGAGCCAAAGTAAAGGCATGATTTATTTTTTTAAACTCAGGACTCAGTGTGTATTATCAGATGGCATGGAGTATGCTATATGAAAAAAGGCAAAGTGCTATGAAGCATTATCACCCAAAATAGCAGAAGTAAAGACCGTTCAGGCGGAGAAAGGTAGTAATTTGGTATTAACGGAAATTGCACAGTCTCAACGCACGCCTGTATGAGTCTGGTTGACTGAAATCGACTAATGCCTCATGGATTGTTTAGATAAGCAGACAGCGCTAGTTGTATTGTTGGCACAAGTCTATTTTCTACGCAGGATTTACATCTGGTCGTTGAGACTTTTTAAACAATAGTGATCAAAATTTATACATTCTCATAGTAATAACAGCCTAAGAAGGCACATTATCCGATCATTCAATAGTTAGAAGCTCGTGCTGGTCATTGTGGACTCTCGGATTAATGGACAATGTTAATCTGAGAGGCTATCGTTAATCAGATAATGTTATTCCAGCCTATTTATTTTGTGATATTTTCCTCTTTAGAATGGAAATTCATCGGCGGATGCAAACTGTCCAATTCTCTCCCCTCTTACTATCAATTGCAGCAGCTCAAATAGTACTAGCGGTGTTGGCACTATGAGTTTCCAAACAGAGGGGTCGCACAAAATAGAGTCTTATAGTGTACCGTCTCCAAATAGTTATCCAACCAACTCAACAACCTCTTCGTCGTCTGCTTTTGGTGACGTGAAAAATGGATTCAATGAGACGTTAGGGAAGGGCTGTGCTGCTTTAGAGCAAGTCCAGAAAGATACACATGGACCGTCTTTAAATGGGAAAATGAATGGAGGAGAAAGAGAATTGGAACCGATGGATGCGGAGGTTACCCCGCAACATCATCTCCTATCGATTAACGGCACTGCCAGTGCGAAAAATGGACGACCTGATTTGTAATCTATTGGGGAGCACGGATGGAGGGGGGGGGGAGGGAGTTACCATGTGCACCCCTCTTTCGCTCACTCCTGTTTTGCTTTGAACTATATTATACCAACAACGAAACTACCACTACGACCGGTCCTTCATTATCTTATTTTTGAGTTTGCTAACGTTTTTTGAAGTTAAACAGTTGAGTATTTAATTATAATATTTGTGTGGACGTCTTGTATGTTTTGGGTGGTTTTGGTAATTTTGTCTTTTTCAATGCTGAACATAATTCATGGTTTTTTATCGATAATTTAACGTTTCTTCGAAGTTTGATTAGAGTAGTCTTGTGAATTAATTAATTGATCCATGTTTGTTTGTTGATCTGCACATAGAGGTCGGCTCGAAGTTAGACAATTGAAATGTTATACATTTATTGAAGAAAAGCATTTCAAATGCCCATTGCAGACCAGCTGGTTGAGCGTTGAAACCGCGAGGACTTTGTTATGGCTTGAATTTACATGAGTTCGATCCTGTAGGCACTTTCCTCCTGTCCACCGAAGTCGCGATGGTCGATGAAATCACATTTCGATCTGCGTTTGTAAATCACAATTTGCTGGGGAAAATGTTACTTTTCATGCGGTACCCGGATCCGAGCCAATTTATCGCACACACTTCAAGCTTGTATGCCATTGGCGTGCTTGCCTGAATTTTTTTTCAAATTTTGTCTTATTGCACAGAATAGGAACTAAGAGCACAACTAGCTTATAATATTCGAGAATTATTGGTAATTGGTCTTGAGTGGGCTAACTTTCTAAACTACAGATATTTATTTCAAATGGCAAGCATTTTGATAGTTATCATTAGCCCTTTAGCTGACTTCGGCCTTCACAAAGTGACAAATAGTCGAGAGGGGGACAGAATAATGATTTACAGATATAAAAGAGACATACAAACACAGGCAGAGAAAAGGTTATATGAGAACTGTGGAAGTGGTCAACCATGGCATACAGCTGGTCATGGTAGTTTGAAGTCAGAAGTCAACTGTCGATTAATAGACGGTAGTTTGAAGTCAGAAGTCAACTGTCGATTAATAGACTGCCGTATGGATATACGTTGCCCAGGGTGCACCACATGGAGGTAAGTCTATTGTACACCCCTTGTTCTAAACTACAGATATAAAACTTGATGAAAGGTGTTTGCGATTGTACTAAGATTAAAATTTTGCTTCATGGGACATTTTGCAAACCAAGTTGGAATATACGAATCAGGATCATAAAGGTTAGAAAGACGGTCGGAAATTTGTAATTTGAATTGAAAGTTGTCAGTGGTCTTTAATATGAAAATTGTTAAAAAATGATTTCAATTTTATGGGGTCATGTGTCCTATTTTTGTGATTTCTCATTTACGAATGCGTAGTGATCATTTATTTGTAAATAAATTAGAAATTGCTTGATGAAGATTCTCAGATCTGCAGTTTAACGACACCTTCAATGACGCGCTATATGTCACAAATTCAGAAACAACTTTGCCTAGCAAGACTAGGTAGGTGTAAGTTAAATAGATAAGCTAATCTATAATTCAGATCAAATTTGTCCCCCCCCCCCATTTTAAAGAATCAACAAAAGGTGAAGTAACGGACTAATTTCACCTTTTGCTATCCCTTCTGAAGTTCATTTTAGTAAATACAAACGAGTAAGACAGCGGGGAATGGACGAATTCTTACGTTGAACTATCCATGCTGGATATTGAAGTAAAATCGATAGCTAAAGTGTCAAAGCCCAAATATTTGTATGTAATGTGAAATCTTGAGAGTCTTTAGCCACTTACTTTTCAATTTAGCTAAGCATTTGGTAGGACCTTTACCGCTGGCGTTAGGAGTTATACAAATAGATCCGTCATTCATCGAAATGATCTTGGAAATAAGTTAGCATTTTACCACTCAAATGAATCACAGTTATTCATGAAATGAGAAGACTTACAACTGGTCACAGTAGGACTTCATTTTTTATTTCATTATCACCCAGACGTTGTCTAAAGGTTTCTGTAAGCTTTAACATCTATAAGTTGGAACTTCAAATCAGTCCGACGGGTTTTTGAGCGGAAGAAGGGGGAATAGGGAGTTCACCAATGCTGAAAAGGATTGAGAGTTCAGCTTTACGTGCATATGATAGTTACTTCCAGAGAATAGTTCTTTTTAGCATTTAAATTATTATTACTATTATATCAAATGCCAGGTTTTATTATATTTATCATTAACCCATTAGTTGGCTTCTAACTTCATAGTATCTCTATGTAACTGTCATTATCAGTAAAACTGGACACCGTATCAGGTGGGTCTTCTCCATTTCCTCCTGTAGATCACATGAGCGCATACTAGTTGAACGGATACGCCTATTCTGTGAAGGCGTTTCGCCAGGCAATGGTGTCCAGTACATAGTGCAAGCTCTTCAACAGGTTCGAATCTTGTCCAGTCGGCCATATTTGAAACGGCCTCCGTCCACTGCTTTTCCTACATTTGAAATAAAATATGAGGATAATTTATGCCTCATTTTGCCTTACAATTGATAGACTTACTAGAGATAAGCTTGAATATGAGCTTCCACATATTCAGTTTTTCGTTGATTCCTTGGGCTTTCTTTAACAAAGAAATTTTATTAGGCTCTGCTAAATTACAACGACTTTTCCTAGTCTCCAATATCTTCTCAAGGGTAAAAGAAGATAATGATGTTTAAAAGTGACTTGTCCGAAGATTAACAGGTCAAGAGTATCAGGAGCATTTACTCACCCTAAAACCCAGCACTCTTCCTCACTAGATCAATTTACTGCTTCAAATGATCAGATTCTGCTCCATTATTAAAATTTGTTGTCTTTTATTCAAATAGACATCAGTGGTTATTCTTAATTAGAATAGCATACTTATGTAACTGACTTGGTCATCATTAGTTCAAAAAACAGAAAAAAATTGAGCCTGAATCAGTTGATAATTTTTTTTAATAAATATGTTTTTAAAACAGAACATTTTTTTAATGCAAAGCGAATTAGAGGTTTGGTGTATTAACCGTTATTTTTATTTATTATTTCTAATTCCATAAACCACGATGCCCTGTTGTTCAAAAGCACTTAGTGTTTGGAATAAAAGTTCCAATGCGAATAAGGAGCAATAATACATCCTTCAGCGAAAATTAAAGGCGAATTCGAGAGAACAAATCATAATGCGTCTTTAAACCTACGTCCTGATTGGCCAGTAATTCGACCAACCAGAAAGCGGAGAGAAATAGTTAACCAGGTTGCCGTTTGTGGGGGGAGAGACCGCAAATTTCTCCAATTTTTCCCCGAAGGAGGAGATTGATAGCCATTAATAAGAAGGTCCTACATCCTATTATCAGCTATACAAATTTTGGTAAGTAAGCAATTTTCATAGCCCATTCAGTTAATTGTTAATTTCTAAATATTATACTGTTACTATTCGGGTTATAACTTGGGACAATTAGTAGACAGCATAGTTTGAATTGAGTCTTAAGTATTGACTTTTATTTTCAGCCGTCCCTTAGTTGAAGATGTTCATTTTCATGTCTTCTTCTTGATAAGAGTACTAACTGTGAAATAACTAATTAACATGTTATCATAAGAATTAATGAAGTCGCTAATCATTTATTTATTTATTTCAAATGGCAGGCGTTTTGATAGTTATCATTAACCCTTTAGGAACATCAAAATGAGAAAAAGTAAAGAGAGGGAATAGAAGAGTGATTCACAAATCCAAAATGGACAGACAGACACAACGTAAAGGTGAGGTGATTACTGTGGAAGTAGTGGAATATGACAGTAAGATGAGTACTGTGAAAGTGGTGGAATATGACATACAATGGTGTCATGGTAATTTGAAGTGAGAAGTCAACTGCCAGTTAATAGACTTTTTGACGTATGAGTTGAAGTCAGAAGTCAACTGTCGGTTAATAGACTTTTTGCTGAAGTCAGAAGTCAACTGCCGGTTAATAGACTTTTTGCCATCAGAAGTCAACTGCCGGTTTATAGACTTTTTGCCGTATGAGTTTACGTTGCCCAGGGTGCACCAGATGGAGGTAAGTCTATCGCACAACCCTATATATAATATATAACATTACCAGTATAATTAAGCTTAATTGACACTCTGGCAAGACGCCAAAGAAATTTCCCAGAGAGCTTTTATTGCTTAGGAGTGATTAATTGATGTTCTGCTTTTACTACCCAAAGAGATCTTATTTACATCGATCTAGATCTTTTTATGGACTGGATAAAATTCTTCTCCGGATCGTGGCTCGACCTTGAAACGTCATCCAATTGAGGGGTTTTTAATTTTTAAAATAATTAGTAATCTTGGAGGTGAGGCTCTCAAACCGTTTTTTTCATATTCGAGTAAGGTTATTATTTTCGCAATGGTGGAGTCAGTATGTCCTAACGAGTTTGAACTGGTTAGTTTTGGTTTTTTCAGATTGTTCTCCTCCAGCCACAAATTGATTGGGCCAAAGGTTAACGTTAAAGCGGTCTCTCTAGCACACGTCAGAGGAATCGCGACTCCACATCCACAAATCAAACAATGATGAAGTTGGTGAGGATATATCACTAGCGCTATTGTGGTAAATTTTTCCGTGTGTCTTGTACTAATTAGAAGAAAACTCCCATCAGAGTGCTCATTTTGTGCCCACAATGAGAACTTTTGGAAATATCCTCAATTAATCAAGAAACTACAATGCAAGTTGATATTTTTGGACAAAATATAATTACGCCCAATTTTAAAACTCATAAGTGCAGAATAAATTGTGGAACTGCGTTGAAAAAGTTGGATCATTCCCCCATATAGGTTCCTTGTGACAATCACCTTCCACTGTATCCAATGAGATCTTTAGTCTCACCTCATTGTGAAACCTTTCTAATCAACAATTAAAATTATAAATATGTTATTAATCTGTTGTGGTTGAAATGTGTTTGAAAAAAATTAAACTCAGTTAGGAGTGAATTCAGAAACTTGCTGTCACTATAAATTAATATTT